ATGTCGCAAAGCAATCGCGGTATTCGGCGAGTAGGTTAATCAGCTGCCGTCGTTTCGGGCCCGGAAACTTAGCGTTAATGTAGAGCTGCGCTGGCGACGTATTGCCGTGCTGGCGTGGCGAGGATTTGTCCGTAATCCCGGCGATTTCGGCGGAGTTCACAAGTTATTCGACGCAGCCCACAGCCGCACTTTTTGTGAGGTATGGCGTTTCTTGTCGGAAGTTCGTCACAAGGACTACAGTGCCTCCATTCTAAAGTTTATTTACCTCCTTTGCGACGCCTATTTCTCTTCCTAGGATCAGTGGAACGTTGCCTTCCGGAATAGCTTCGCCGCGGATCGCTGCATCGGTCATGACGGTTACGACAACACTTGATCGCGGTGGCAGGTTCACGTGGTCAACAGCGACTTGGACAGCAACTGACCTGTTTGAAATTTCTCTGAAGGCGGAACAGGTGCCCTCAGAGTCAGTCTTTTCTCTTTAAGGTCGATGATGGCGCCGTTTTCACACAGAAAGTCTATGTAGAGAATGACGTCTCTGACATAGTCTTGTATAACGACGAATTTCATAGGACACGTCTCGCCGTGAATTTCGACGCGAGCAGTGCACCTTTCGACAGTCGTGGTAAGGTGTCCTCGAGCGGTTCGTATTTACGGCCCATCTTACGGCGTCATTACTTCTCGAAGACGACAAAGGAGCCTCCCACTCAAGCCTGAATAGTCTGCTCCGGTATCCACGAGTGCCGATGCGTGGTTGCCGTCAATAACAACGTTTACGTTATTGGGCACCGTCGCTGGAGCGTCGTTGCGATGCGTGGCGTCGAAAGAGTGGGAGCGCTCCAACGTTTGTGGAGGCTCTTTACGTCGTCCGTCCACGGCAACTTCACCTCTGGAACTTGACGCGCTTTGTTTTTCTCAGCGGGAATCAAGAAACAGGCTGTTACGGTGCGACCGACAGAAAAACGATTTGGAACGTCGGGGGGATGGAGAACGGGAACATCGTAGTGCTGTCGACGCTGGTCATGGAGGGCAACGGAGGAATTCCTCCATGTCACGAAGGCGTTCGCCGTATCTTTAGCAAGGGTCGTTCGGCGCGAACCCTCGCAGGACCATTTGGCGGTATAAGCACCTCCGGTAGACGTGGTCAGCCTCACCGCAATGGTAGTACAACGGTAGCCTGTCGGCCGTCCGCCGCACGTCGGTCTTCCAAGCCGCAGCTTGTTCTGGGCAGACGAAGACGGTCTTCCTGGCGTCGGGGGTACTGTGGCTCTGGAGGTTCACGTGGGGGAGGCGCCATGAACGGGGGTGGCTGGTGGTGCTCGTGGGACCATTGCGTCGTAGCTTAGAGAGGGCTCCTCCTGTGCTGCTGCGGTTAATGGAGACTCGGGCTGGAAGGCTCGGTGAACCTCCTCTTGGACGACCTTAGCGAGTAAGGTTGAGGATGGGCGATTTGCAGCAGGGAGGATCTTGCGAATTTCTTCCCGGCCGATATCCCGCACGATCTACCGAAGGCTGTCGACACCACCGGTATTCAGGTTCAGAAAAGAAGCGCGACGGTAGGAGCAGTAGGCCCGCCGGCGAGTCGGTGGTAGAGGCTTCCCCGGGCCTTCAGTGCGTGCTCGATATTGGTGGCTTTGGTTAAAAACCCATCAACAGTCATCGGGGGATTGCGTACCAATCCTCCAAAAATTTCATTCTTCACGCCAAGCATGAGAGCGCACATTTTCTTCTCCTCGGCCGCCTCGTGATCGGCTCGGGCACTTAGACGCATGATATCTTCAACAAAGCTTGTCACACTTTCGTTGGGGCCATGCATCCTTGTTTGAAGAAGGTCCTCCGCTTGTTGCCGAGGGTGGTAGTTGATGAACGTTCCTTTTCAATTCGGCGGTGCAGGGCTCTCAAGAAGCAAAGGAGGGTTCGTGGTTCTCAAACCTGTGCCTCGCGCTGCTTTCAAGCGAGGAGTAGAGGTTCTGGAGGCGCTGCTCATCCGTCAATTCGTTGTGGCGGGCTCCAGGTTCATAATAATGCAGCCAGTCTCCTACATCCTCGTGGGCTTCGCCGTGAAAGGGTGTCGGAGTGCGGGGAGTGACGGGCAGGATGACGACGGGTGGGTTATCATCGTCACGGTCTTCTTCTTTGGATTCTGCGGCGGAAGTCCGAATTCCGGGAGTTGGCCTTTGTTACGGTGGTTTGCTCGGGCGATGGCGTCTTCTGCAAAGGGTAGCCTCCCGGGGCTGAGCACCTCACTTGGCCGGGGCGTTTTCGGAGGGGTACACTTCACGGCCATAGAATATAATACCCCGCACCTCCACCAAAAATGTCGTGAATGACAAGTGATGAGACGATGAAAACTGAAGCCAACTAAACATTTAATGGCGCGAGCTTGTGCAGAAAACGAAATAGAAGGAGGTTTGCGTCGCAAATGTCGATGTCGGCGAAAGAGCAGGATCGAACGCTAGAACGAGACTGGCTCCGGCGCGTCAGGCGGAGCCCCTTATGCACTATCGGGTTCAAATGAAATGCGAACAGCGGAGCGCGTGGCCGTCGGTCCATGCTGCGCCTCCTAGAGGCCTCTTGAAACTGATAAAACTGAGGGTTGGAGAGTATGGCGCTGCGAGTGTGTGCTTCTTACTCAGATGTGTCTGACCCTCGCCCAGCACAACTCAAACTTCGACGCTGCACCAGTGGTGCGCAGGAAGTTCCGTCACAGCCACTTTTGTTAGCTCGGCATGAGCCAAGCGAGGGAGCACGCCGCTCGCAGCAGGAGTAGGCGCTTGCGCGCGACCCTCGCGCGTTCGTCAGTGGAACATTACCGTTGCGTTATGCTCCCCCTAACTTGCTCAGTTTTTTTTTCTTTTCTTAATATGCGCTGTCATTTTGTTACGAACTCTATAGCAGAAACTGTACGACTATCAAAACAGAATAACAAGCGGGGACCCAGGATGGGTTTCTGACGCCTAAGTGAAGTCAATTACTTTGCATACTTTTATGTATCAACCCCCAGCCCTCGTCTTGTGTCTCCTCTAGTTCTCGTTTCTCGTGTGTGGATCTGGGATTAGCGAAATGCAGGCCCACTAGATCCCGTGTACACCAAAAAATTTAATTAAATGCAGTAACTGCGCCAGTGATATTTTTAGGTAGCCAGGCTCTCGTTCATCGTGCTCATTAAATTATCACCTCAGAACCACGCCGGCGTCTTTGTGAAGGATCTAGAGCGCATGGCTACTGCAAGATAGTAAAACAGCGTGGACGAGAAAGAATTTTTTTTTTTTTTTTGCCAGGGAGCATTTGGGCAAACAGAAATATTAAACAACAAGGGAACACGAATGCTGCAACCGGCAAAGGCATCAGCCACTGCAACCGGTTGCAGTAGCTGTCTGGACCTGCTTACTTTCGTTGCAGCGTGCTAGCAGCTATAGTCACGCTGCGAGCGGCGAGCTTCCTCGCATGGCTTGCGCCGAGCCAGCGAAAGTGTCTCTGAAGGAACTCCCAGCGCACCACCGGCGGAGCGTCGAAGCTTGGGTTCTTCTGGGGGAGGGTCAAAGACACCGGGGTAGGACGCACACCCGCACAGCACCGTACTTTCCAATTAGTAGTTTTATCATTTTCAAGAGGCCTCCAGGAGGCGAAGCATGTAGCGACAGTCACGCGCTCGCTGTTCGCATTTCGTTCGAATTTGATAGTACACCAGTGGGCTTCATTCAGCGCAGCACATTAGACGCGTAAACATGCGGACCTCGAATACACAACAGGGTTTTCGAATTTACTAGAATGCGAGAGTTACACAGAAATAATAAAAATGTACGTCCACTGCCAGGAACTGAACCGTGGCCTCTTGCGTGGGAACCAAGCACGATATCCGTTAGGTCACGGGCGCGCTGACTACTCGGTCAGCTGCGCGCGGCAGTATTAATCAGCTTTTGGATGCTTTTGATTTCGTAGCTGCTGCTGACATCGAGTGGGTTTTCTTATATGTTTTATTCTGTTTTTCTTATTTTATATTTTGAGGGTGTTTTTCGAACTTCAGCACCATTATAAATTTGGCATTTATTTAGGTTTGTTCGGGTTCAATTCGCACTTCTCAAAAATTACTATATTTAAATACTTTAATACTTTCATTTCCACAACCCTTTCATTCAAAATTATTAGCCACCCACACACGCCGTATTAAAAAATATTCTACATCCACCATTGTGGATCAAACTAACTTGCATGCTCAATTAAACTTGTATTCTTCATCAAAGTAAATTTTGAATAGGTGTAACTAAGATATTAACATGTATTTTTGACAAGAAATGCAACGTTCATGGACCCTTTGGTACGTTCCATGGTTGCATAACGAATGTTCGATTGCATTGCATTTTACTTGATAGACCCGCCTGAAACGTGCCGCTACTGCACAAATTATCCAAGACTGGCATCTTTTGGCCGTATACTCTGAGCTTCTCTGGACCACGAGGACTCGGTCAGCCTTCGTCGTGAACTCTGCACAGCTCGTATTGAGAACGAGTGCTGCGTCAGCTTTCGGTGTGGACTCGGATGAAATCACAGGCTTCGTGCCCAATAAATGGTGACCACAAGTGTCGCTTCATAGGGTTTTGAAAAGGGCCTATCGCACGGTAACAGTCGCATAGTTATTCTTTGGTAAAAAAATCCCCGACAATGCTTTCTTCCTGGAGTCAAAATTTAAAGTAGTTTATATTGTCATGTCTTAACAAGAAGGGTAAAAGTTTAAATGAGTGTGATGTAATCCAATCTATATTTCTGACCACATTCATACAAGGTCCGACTAACGGTTTGAGGTTTTGTTTAGAGCTCATGCGCGTATATTTTCTCAAAAATAACAAATTACTATAGCAATAACCCATATGATCCTTGTAAAAATTAGTTTTCTTTTATGAATTCTCTGGCTACAGTACATCGATCAACCCTTAGATGTAGATTCAAGTTGTTTTTATTGATGGTTCAGTGACCTCTTCTCACAAGCAGCTCTTTTCCTTCAGGAAATTAGACCAAAAATGCAAAGAAGTTACATTGGACACGGCAAATAAGACTACAAAAGTGCTGCCGGGAACGAATTTGAATTTAACGAAGTACTGCCACCTCAAACATCCAAACTTTCCTCGTATCTCCCTATTTCAGGTAAATACATCAGCATGAATAACAAGGATAAGATTGATAAATATATGATAATAACAATAAAACAGTATAGGCGAAACACACAATCACACTTCTGAAATAATTTCAGCATACACATTAACCACACGACTATACGAGAAAGCATTGTCGCACTTACTCAATACCTTTCTATAAACAATTTATTATGAATTTAGTATATCTTGCACTTGTCATTGTTACGTAAAGAAAAGCTTAATGAAATTAACAAAAAAAGAAACTGACTAACAAGCTGCTTTCTACAGTTTTTTTTTATCTCCTGAATTCGGTTTCCGGATAAAATGTGTCGAATGTAGAGCGCACATTGTGTATTTCGCGAAAACGTAGTAATGGCCAAAGGGCATGCTGTGGTTTATATTTGTCGCTTTAAGTAAATATTATTGCTATATTATTAATATGGGTATTAATAGTATTATTATTATTATTACCATTTTTTACTATTCATTATTTTTCTTATTATTACCTGTCAAACGCGTTCTGACATCATGTGTCGACATCTTTAAGCTAGTTAGAAGCAAAGACAGTCAACTGGTGCAGCCAAAATAATCACTTTCGCCATTTTCTTTGTTTTGCTCTTTTGTACTCGGCGGGCAGTGGGAGACAAAGCTGTAGGGAAATTTTGTTTTGCGCTTACGCCAGTCCTATTACTAACAGCACAAATAAAACATTAAACACTATAATTTTTTTAATACTCCAACGCAAGTACCCAAACCCAAATACAAGAACGCTTAGACTTCTTTGAATGTATGTATTGTTATTTTTCTCCTTAAAGGAACCATGAAATGATTTTAAAATTGAATTTGCACACCGCACGTCGTAAAAGGTGCCAAGAGAAAACCAATACAGAAAAATACACAGCCGAAACAATTTTCACTATAGTACATTGAAAAGAAAAACGGACTCTTCCAGCTTCTTCTTGACTTTGAAAGCTCTCTGTCTCTTCAATGACATACATCCGCAATTCCAATGCACGTCAGCCAAATCCACGTAGCTTATTTGTATAAGAGCCTACCTCACCAGCACCACGATCGTGAACAATAAATATCCAGAGAATGGTTCTTTAAAGTTTCGTTAAAGAATATTCTGATCCACAATTTTCTGAATAATTATCTATGTGACGGAAATTTCCGAATTTTATAATGCTCAGATCTATGCACCATCTATCGTGTGGTAAAGGAAGCAAGAGAAAGATAAGACTGCGCCTGCGCTGTTCCTGCTCTCTGCTGGAAAACATGGCGTCCGTGGTGATCGTTGACGTGGTCGGCGTGGTGGAAGATCATCGTTCCACGTAAAGCGCTATCCTTGACCGAATTCTCGTCGTGTGCCGCGATGGTAACCCAGCACGCCCTAGAAGGGAATATCCATCTACTCGTGCGGCGATGTCGTGGAGGCACCCTTAAGACAGCAGAAACGCTCGTGCCGTCGTCTTTGTTTATTTCAACTACAGTGGTGATTTCTTAGCATTTGTGTTTTCGAACATCGCCCGGATTTCTTATTTTGCGCATTTAATGCGTATGCTCAAGTTCAAGGTATCACTAGTGCGTACAGTATTTAAAGGCGTGTATAAAGGACGTGAATTTTGACGCCTCCTTTATAATTTCTCCGCTAGATTTAGCGGGGAACATTTCCCATTAGATTTGGCGGGGAATTTTTTCCGCTAGATTTAGCAGGGAAGTTTTTTCCGCTAGACTTAGCGGGGAAATTTTTCCGCTATATTTGGCGGGGAATTTTTTCCGCTATATTTAGCGGGGAAATTTTTCCGCTAGATTTAGCAGGGAATTTTTCCGCTAGGTTTAGCGGGGAAATTTTCTTGATAGATTTAGTAGGAAAAGTTACCCATAATGGGCACCACGCGGTTACACCGACGCGAAGGCGACGCTGACGCCGACGGCGACGGTGACGGCGATGCCGCTTAAGCCGGAAACGGGCGGCTAAGAGCTGTGCTCTAAAATAAACGGCTGCAGTTTCATCGCTTGCCTCTCGTGAACTACGTAGAAGCACTTGGTGCAGCCTCATCGGTTTGTGGAAACCCAGGTTTGAGGTCAACTGTGTATGCTGGGAACATTCCGTACATTGGAGTCGCCACTCATTTGTTCGATTCCGACGAGGAACTGGAGTCTTCGTCGGAAGCGTCGCCGCACGCTCAAACAGGAGTACCGGCGATGGGGCCAGTCCCTTGTTGTCGCTGTAGCGCAACATATCTAATTGAATTTCTATCAGTTGCTATGTAGTGTCCATGGCTATCGCGGTGGAAAATATGTCAGAAAATATGTCGGTGGAATCGGCGCCATCAGCGCAGCAAAGCTGTGTGGTGGAGCGAGATAACTTCCGGTTCCAGTGACAGAGCACGTCACAACCGACAGAATTACGCCACCATTTGTTTCGGGGTGAGCTGGAGAGGAAGAAGATTTCAATATTCATTCGTGCGAAAATTAATAAACCGAAACGAAAGCGGATGCCTGTTCGGCGTTCAGTGAGCACTGAAGGTTCAATGTAAAAGTTATTTGGCAAACGTAAAAAGGTTATTTTTTGGAGACTTTAATCCATGTCGGAAGATCGAAAGGGCTTACTGAAGGGTGTGAAATAAAATAAAATTAGCGTTTAATTCTTAGCACGGATGGGGTGGCCACAAAGGATTACGAGTTCCTCCTGAACGCTCGCGGTCGCCACACAGGCTTACGAGTTCCACATGTTCGCACAGACCGCGCCCCGGCCGATCGAGATATCGTCGTCTTCTTTCTTCTTCCAGGGGGTCGCTCGTTTTAGGGAAACGTCTTCATTTAGCCATTCTGGAGCCTTAACGTCCTCGTTAAGTTTGAAGATACACACACATTTTAAGGTTATAAAGGAAGACACACGCAAATAAAAATTAGTAAACGACTGCGCATTATGCAGTCTCGCAGTCTATAGCAGACTGGACGTTTCCTTGTAGGCTCTGTAGCAGCTGGGGGCAACTTGCCTACCAAATCTTCGAAGGCGACGTCGCCGTTGACCATCCTTTTAACTGGGAGACGTGTGCTGTCGTTGCGAACCGGCTCCCAGAACTTTGGTCGAGCTCTACCATTTGATAGGTATCGGCGGGCAACAGCTGGGTAACAACCAGGGGTCCTCGATACTTTGATTCTTTCTTCGTTGCATGTCCGGTGTGTTGTGTTGCCCACCTTTTGTAGCGTGAGCTACACTGGCCGAAATTGAGCAGTTTCGCGTGGCTTTCAAAGAGCCATGCTGCGCATGCGCGAAGAGCAGTGACGTCACACGGCTCACAGCTGGCGCGCCGGAGCCGCCGCCGCCGCGCCCTCCGCCGCCACCGCGCGCGCCTCGCCGGTTTGCGCATTCCAGAGGAGTGACGTCATAGCCGCGGCAGACGCACTGGCGCCGCCGCGTGCCCAGCTGTGCGCCTCCGCTGCGCAGTAGCCAAGTCTGACGCTGCACCGGAGCCGATTGATAGCGCCTCTCATTTTGTGCGACTAAGCTTACGCTGCGTAAATACTGGCATAGCCGAGCTAAGCTGACGCAATTTTTAAATACTATTTCCCCCACGTCATATAGCTTTGCTGGGTAGTGCCGACGATCATATGCCTGCTTGCTTCTTTCCTGTTCCTCCAGCAACCGTTACCTTACATGTACTCGCAGCTCGCTAGGGTCCTTCTATCTGGCTCCATCACCTAATGCTAGCTCCTGCAGCGAAATTCCGTAAAAGCTTGGCCTGTATCCATGAAGCAATTCGAATAGTGCCTTTCCTGTTGCCTCATGCACTGCATTTCTCAGGCTGCACCCTGTGCGTTTGAGTTTAACGTCTCAGTTTCGACGGTTGGGATCCTTTATGGCTCTTGTGATGACAGGTAGCACTGTCCTGTTTAACTGCTTGACCTTACCGTTGGCCTGGGAACGTTGTGACGAGTTTAGCACGTGTTTTATGGTTCGTTTTGTGCAGAACTCTTCGATCGCTCTCGATGTAAAATAACTTCTTCTGTCTGTGATGAGGGTTTTTGGCAGACTTCTTGGAAATATAAATTTCTCCAGCGCACAATACAAATGCTTGGATGACCCATCTCGGGTAGCGAAAAGGAGCACAAACTTTGTTAAACTGTCGACGATAACCAGGGGGTGCTGGTTGCGCGTCTTGGAACAAACGGCTTTATATGGTCGAGGCGCACTGTCTCGAAGGCGCCCTTGCCAGGGTGGATCGGGTTGAGGAGTCCTTCATTTCTTCCACCAGGGATCTTTTTAAAAATGCGTTCAAACCATTGCGAGATGCGCTTGCGCACATACATGCGCATGCGAGGAAAACAAAAACTTTCCTGAAGCTTTGCGACCGTTCTTTTCATTGATAAATGTCTTTAGTGGTCGTGGTATTGTACCAGTACCGCTTTATGCATCGCCTTTTGCAACACAAACTTCAGTGATTTCTGCTTGTACTAATCAATGGTGTGCATGAGCTTGCCATACGTGAGGGCATAGTCCTTAGCTTTGCTCTTGTCCTCCTTAGTACGGGGGTCTTCTGGTTTCTCCAGAATCTCGAACAGCTGGCGCATCTTTTCGTGTCGTTTATGGATGGCTAGTATCTGATTCTCCAGGCTGCAAGTCAGGCTCACTTCGAAGCGCCCTTCCAAAACATCGTCCATGGTGTCGCTCGAGCCTTCCACAGGTTACCGGCTCAGGGAGTCAACATGCAGCATCAGGGTACCAGGTCGGTGCCTGATCGTGAAGTAAAATTTTTGGATGAGGTCATACGAACACATACGAACGCGCGATTCGAGGCTTCTGAGTTTCTTGGGCATTCAAGTAAACTAGCGTTTGACAGTTCGAAACCCCCGTGAACTGGAAGCCCGAGAGTGGGGATCTCAGTCAATCCACTGACCAAACAATGGCCATGAGTTCCACTCCTGTTGAGGGATACTTTCTCTCAGCTTCAGTGATCTTCTTGCTCACTCAGTGTAAAGATGCCCCGCATTGTCATTTTGTTG